AGTGATGGTTCTGGAATTCACATTTCCTTTTAAAGAAAGATGTCTGCGTGTTGATGAAATCCTGAATCAGGCCCATCCTCTTAGAGAAAGACCAGACTTGGAAGTGAGATCAACCACTGCCAGTGGACCTCCTGGAGTGGCCAGAAGGTTCAAGTCCTCCCTGGTTTCTGGGGAGGCCCCACAGAATGAGAAGATGACCGGTGTGTGTCTCGGTGTGACCTGGGTGTTCAGGTGGACAGTGACAACCTCAGGTGCAGAACCACCACTGTTGTCCACTTGCGCCACACACGGGCTTCCTGAGACACCAGGGTTCAGCTTGTGAGGAGCTAAGGCTCTGGGCTGGAGGAAGGAAGCTCCTACTTGTCAGGTAAACAAAAGAATAATCCACAGCCCCCTTTCCAGGGGGTACTTTCGCTGTCATCCAACAGCCCATCACCACGTCACAGCACAGCTCACCCTTCCATAGGTCACTGTGTTTAAAATGACATGGATAATGCATGTGTCAGCGAGCCGGCCGTCCTGCCATCCTTCAGAGATAAAAACCTCAAGGCGAGAGCCTGCTCTCCTCTGGGGACATGCACTGGTCTCTCACCCAAGGCAGGCAGAACATGATTTCTCCAGAGAGCATTTTTTTCATTTCCTGATTTTTTAAAAAAATTAATTTTAATGAGAAAGACATAGCAATGAGACATTTTCAAAACAGGTCAGTAGGACAGTTACAATAATTGCTACATTGCATATTGTTGTCTTCGTAGTAGTTATTCATAATACAAGACGCAGACACGATATCTTGTCTAAACACTATTAGTTCAAATCTTTCTTCTCATTGAACTGAGAGAAAGTAGTTGTATATTTAACCTAACTAATTTGATGGAACCAAGGATTGAACTCAGGCCCCTGCGCTTGCCAGGGAAACGCTTATTCCACTGAGCCATCTCCCCAGTGAGCCTACCTAATTTGTATATACAGCTATAAATCATTTCCTGATTTTAAGGAATCAAATAAGCACTATTTGTCTTCATCTGAATATGTTTGACCTGCTCAAATGATGATGTCTCGCATTTTATAATGGGCTACATATGCTGAATTCAAGTTAATGACAGTATGGAACAAGCGCCTTTAGATCTCTCTTGGAGACTGGTGGCAAAGAAGGAGAAAAAAACTTGGGGCTTAACAGAAAGGATGCACTAAGTACCAACTGCAGCCTCCTGAGTCTAATCCACAAGCATGAAAGAAAAAGAGATGGGGCCAGGACGGACTCAGAGATGGGAGATGGAGTGGGCTATGCTTTGAGGGCCAAGCATCTACAAATCATGATATTTAGACACCTGTTTTCAAGATACATGACAGCAATAAAAGTGGAAAGCAAGTGGCAAGTTGGTAGACTGGTACAGCTAGAAAGAATGACCAGACACAATCCCTTTGCTTCAGGCAGTGGAAAGCTCACTTTATCAGGTAATGAACCTGAGGTTCTTTTCTTGATCCATGTAGAACTGGAGGCCATCAGCCTTTTCTTCCTGGTCACTGTCACTGTCACAGAAGTAGCCTGTTCCCAAGCTGGAAGGAGCTGAACTATCGCCAAGCCTTTCACGAGAGCTGTTCCAATGGAAACCCTTGGATTCTGCAGTGGCACTTTTGCTGTCACTGTCCCTGCAACTGTTCTGCTCCGGCTTGAGCTGTTTGAGTCCCTTTGTCACTTTCTTTCTCTTCCCAAGGTGCTGGCAGAGATTGTGGTCATTTTCTCGATCTGAACCGTAGTGATGTGGATGACTGAGCCTGCTCTTCTTTGAATGAAAAGAGAAGCCATTGTCCAGTGCTTCTCATTTTTTCTTCTTCCTCGGGGGAGTCTGGCCTTTCTCCACACGTGCCCGAGGCTTAAATGCTACATCTTTCTCCAGCGCTTCAAAAGTGACAAAGCTGGGCTGGGGAAATAGCTCAGTAGAATAAGTGCTTGCCTGGCAAGCACAGAGTCCTGAGTTCAATCCCCAGTACCACCACCAAAAAAAAAAAAAAAAAAAGTGACAAAGCTGGTCATGGCCAATCCATCAATGATGTCTTCTTCGCCGAAGTGGGCTCCCTCTGCTTCCTCCGCGGGGGTCTGAGTCTATTTTATTTTATTTTTATGTATTTGCTTGTTACAGCATCTCACTATGCAGCTTGGACTCATACTGATCCTCCTGTTTTCAGCCTCTCCAGCGTTGGGATTATAGGCGTGTGCCATCATGCTTGACTCTGTGGCCCACTCAGTCCACCCTGAGAGCAGGGTTGGCACGAGATGTGCTGCCGGGGATTGAACTGCAGTCCCTGAGCATGCCTAAGCATGTGCTTTAGTCCACTGAGCTGTCTTGTAGGCCCCATAATCTCATTTTAGATGATCCCTACTTTGCAAATCCGCCCTCGTAAAGTTGTTTTTCTTTCTCCTCTTTGTGCAATGTTGTAAATTCCTTTTACTTCCCCTTTAAATTTTGTTTTGTTTTTGAAACAATCTTGCTATGCAGGCCAGGCTGGCCTTGAACTCACAGCAACCCTCCTGCCTCAGCTTCCCAAGTGGTAGGACTACAGGCCGTCATGCCTGGCTGCTTCCCATTTTGAGTAGCATATGTTTGTGATGCATAATGGATGCATGCATTGTGGGGCGTCATGGGGTACACACACAGAGCACATCTTGATCCTTTTGCTTCCTTTTCTTCTTTTCTCCCTCTGGTCCCTCTCCATTCCGCAATCCCTTTCTCATCTCTCTGTTTCCTGTCCCCTATCTTTTATTGTGCCCCTGAGCTATTTATTCTTTGTGTTTTTAATACAAGAGAAGTCATGTGATAGTTACCCTTCCGTGTCTGATTTATTTTACTTGGTATTACGGTCTCCAGCGGTACCCATTTTTCACAAATGAAGAAAGCTGGCTTTGCATGGCTGAGGCGCTTACTTCTGGCATCAACTGTTGCAGGGAAAGGAACTAGATAAAATGATCACAAGACCTCCTAATCGGCAGTCTTTGTTCAGTTTTGCAGAATTTCAAATATCTAGCAGTTTTCAGATAGCATCAGGGTGTGGGCTAGGAACTTGGTAAGGTTGCTCTTCAATTAAGAGGGAAATGGTGTTGAAGTTGCAGAGAAATCCTGGGCTTCTCTGAAGCATCGTTGGCACTGACCTAGAAGGTGCAGGTTAGTTTTTGTCTTAAGGATATTACAGAGGAGAAAGCACAACAGAGCGTAGGTTCCCAGTGAGCACACGGCCAACCCTCCCATGGTTCCCTGCGCTGTCTCTCCTCCCCCAAGAAATCCCTGTTACGTAGTTGCGTTATCTCCAACGATCTTTCTCTGGGGGGCAGTAACCATCTCCATCTTCTCTGGGTGATGGCTCCTTGAATTAGCCTGATCTCTTGTCTACCGGCTCTTAGCCTCTGACTTTTATTTTAGTGGCAATGGAGAGTGAACCCAGGGCCTTCACGCTGAGCTACACGCCCCAGCCCGTCTTTAATTTATTGCTTTGGGAGAAGATGCTGCATCACCAGATTGCCCAGTCTGGGGTCACACTTGCAATCCTCCTGCCTCAGTCTCCCAGAGTTCTGGGATCACAAGTGTGTACCTCCACATGAGGTGTGGTGCCCAAGGTTCACAATGCAGCAGGCAGGGCCCTCCAGCCGGTCTTTAGTTGCCCCGGTAACAATTCCTATTACAGTTTCTGTCACTTCTGTTGCCCAGAAACGGTTGGTCAATATGATGCACAGCTGGTCACCAGGATACGTATTGTAAGAACCAATCAAAGACAGCCAAGTACTCTGCTTCTGTACTTCCTTCTTGTTGATCCCTTATCAGTCCTGAGCTGGCAGACAGCAGGTCCTGGTATTGTGGGAATGATTCTGCTCGGTACCCATCGATGTGAAATAAATCTGCCTCTAAATCCTGGTGTTTTAGTGTTTCTGTTTGCTGTTGTAACAATGCTATGGTTTGAATACAACGAGTGACCTTGGAAGTTTATATCGAAGTCTGATTGTCACTGCGACCACATATGGAAATGTAGCTTTTACGAAAAAAATATTTTAAATGCGGCTCATGTCTTTCGGCACTAGGAACCACACCTGTCTGCATCGCCTGCATCGCCGAGCTCATCAGACTCCTCAGGGTCCCTCGTTAGTGAGGAGAGTGGTGTCTGCTCTACCTCTGAGCTGTTTGTGTCCCACCAAATGTCTCCTCCCCCTAAAATCAAAACAACAGGGGCCGGGGAGATGGCTCAGTGGAATAAGTGTTTCCCTGGCAAGAGCAAGGGCCTGAGTTCAGTCCCTGGTTCCTCAAAACAAAACAAAACAAACAAACAAAAAAAAAAAAAACCAGAAGTGAGCAAAGCAACATGTAACCATGTCATCAATTTAACTAGAAAGAATGCTAGGCTTTAAGGCAACTATGCTGAAAAAGGAAACAGGAAGTTGCAGTGTGAGACACCTTGGCCTCCTTGCTCCAAAGTCAGTGGAAAATGAAGATTCTCTAAACCGGTCTCCAGAAAGACTGGGTTCACCTCCATCTGAAAATGTTACAATATTCTTCAGATATGTGGGGCAGGGGGGCAGTTCACTGGCATAAGTGCCAGACTGGTATGCAGAAGGTCCTGAGTTCGATCCCCAGCACCATAAATAAATAAATAAATAAATAAATAAATAAATAAATAAAAAGATATATGAAGACTGTCATGAACTTTTACTAAAGAACATTTTAAGGAATCTGAATCAAAAAAGCTTTCATGACTTTATGCATGCGTGGAGACAAAGGGAGAGAGGGAGGGCCAGGGAGATTATGTAACAAACTGATCAAATCAGTCCCCGGGACATAAAATACACAGCAGCAGAAATATATCTATATATCTATCTATATTATTTAGTACAGGGTCTACAGGGTCACACTACACAGATCAGACTCAAAGTGATCCTCCTGTTTTCAGCCTCCCAAGCGCTGGGGTTACAGGGGCGCGCCACCACACCTGGTCTCAATCACCAGCTCAGTGCGCCCAGGGTGAGGAGCTGGCACGACACAGAACATATTAAAAAAGAACAACATATCAGTACCAGATGCACTACAAAGCTATAGTATTTAGCACTGTAGAGAAGGAACAGAAGATGGTTAGAGTAAAATACATCCTCCACTGTGTGATTTTCCGCTTCATGATTCCACTCCATCCTGAGGAGTATGGGGTGGCAACTATGGCAGACAAACTGTGCACCAGTGAAGGATGCCACCAGCCCGTTGGGTCTTGGACAAGGGGCTGGGCTGGGCTGGGACTGAGACCATCCTCGGTGGGAGAGGAATGAGTGCTCTGTGAAGGAAGAGACCCAAGGGGAGGGGTTTCCGGGTCTCAGAGCCCTCCCTGCAAGACCAAGGGGAGTTCAGAAGGCTGCGGGGGCGGAGGAGAGCAAGCGGAAGTTGCTGGTCCCGGGGGCACAGGGAGCAGGGACCCTCAGCTCCCAGGGCAGGGAGCCGACGGCTGTTCACAGATCCAGAAGTTCTCTGCGCTACAGGCATTGTCGTTCCAGGCGTCATCTTGCAGCTCCGCGCAGTCCTCATCACCGCGGTTGTTGGGCTCCCCCTTACTCCAGAAGCTGTGAATTTGAACAGAGACAGACAGACAGATGGACGGAGGGATGAACGGATGGAGGGAGGAAGGGAGGGAGAGAGAACGTCATGAGCACACATCCCGTGGAAGGCCCTGCAAATGCACTGCTGGACAGATGGTCGCTGGGCTTCACTGGTGGATGTGCATGAATCAGCCAAACAGTGCTCAAAAGTTCAGGGCAGCATTTCACAAAAGGTGGGCTCACACTTTACCACCATGACAGCGCCACCCAAGTGAAATGCAGATTCTGGGGGACAGTAGCTGGGGTGGTGAGACCAGAAGGCCCCGGGCGAGGGTGGGTGGGAGTCTGTGCTTAGGAAGTTCCGTGGTTGGTTTCTGATGACCAGTCTGAGATGCCGCGTGGTCCTGGTCCTTCCCCAGCTCACCCCTCTCTGGGCATGGTCCCTGGGGAGCCTCACCTGAGCTGCAGAGGGGTGTCATCTACCCAGTGCCAGGAGCCCTCTGTCCTGTGGTCAGTGAGGCCGATCCAGGTGACCTTGTTTTTCCTGATATTCCAGTATCTTAGGAATCTCTGGGTGAAAGAGAGACCTTGCAGAGGCACCTGTCCCTGGCTGCCTGTGTCCCACAGCACCCATCCCACCACATGGGTGCCTCCTGCAGTCCAGTCAGGAGCCCTCAGGGCAGGTGCCTGCATGCTGTGGCTGTGCACGCGTGCTCACACATGTGAGCGAGCGTGCCCACTTGTGACTTGGCTCACGACTGTGCCCAGGGTGGGTCTCTCAGGTGCTCTGAGGCCCTCCTGTCATATGTGTCCCTTCGCCAGCTTTCCCTAAGCTCACTATCATTCCTCCTGCAGGGAGCTCCCTGGCTGCATCTCCTCCCATCCCACTCTAGCTGCACACCTGGACCACAAAGAGAAGAGGCAGAATGCATTTTGTGGACTCGGTCTTTGGCACCCCCCAGTGTGACCCCTGCATGGCTCACCTGCTCCGCAGTGCTGTTGATGATCACCAGGTGGGCCCCCACAGCCCGGCAGGCGGAGACAGAAGATTCCCAGGTGCCCTGTGTCCCAGAGAAGAGGTAGCAGCTTCCCTGGAAGGGCTCCCAAGTCCAGGGGCAAGGACGGCACAGGCGAGCTGGGCAAGAGGGCTGTGGTCAGGATAGGGCCCTTCCCCGCCCACAGTGTTGAGATCCGAGGCCTGGGCCCCTTGGTCAATGTGAGCCCATGCTGCAAGAAGCTCAGGGGAAAGATCCCAGCTCCACTGTTCCCTGTTTGGAGCCCACAGAAGGTGGGTCACAGCCACTCCTAGGACCCTGGCTCCTTTCCAGCCCTTACCCCAGCCCATCAGATCCTTACCCAAGGAGGTGTTGATCTGGCTCAGCTGCTGGAGGATCTGTTCCAGGCCTGAATACACCTGATCCTGAGAAGCAGGGACTAGAAAATGAGGATCTCAATCATCAAGCACGTATGGTGTACCAGGGGCAGAGAAGACCCCGTGAGAGTATGACCTCTGGCTCTCACAGGGACCCGAGAGCCCGTTTTGCAGAAGGGACCACCAAGCCTCACGCAGCCTTGCCCAGCATGACCAGCACCCGCCCTCCTCCTGCCACACACGCATTGCAATGGCTTGTCCTCCTCACACAGTGTCAGAACCAGCCCACTCTCTGGCAGGACCTTCCTGCCAGGACCTCACCCGAGCTGGGGTTCTCCTGCTGATCCTGAGCCTCCACCTGCGGGGACTTGGAGATCCTGGAAACTGCAAGAGAGGAGAGCAGACGCGCGGCTGAGAGCTTGGACTGCCGCAGGACCCGTGCCACATCCAACGCCAAGGTCGCCAGGTCCTGGGGGTCTGTTGCCTGGGTGGAGTCACAGGCCTGAAGTAGAGAGGGGCCTTCCTAGGTCACTCAGGAAGGAACATGCAGCTCAATCTCGAGTCTGCTGGCTGTGGGGGCAGGGCCAGGAGCATCCCAACCACAGAGCCCAGCGATCCAGAGCAGTTCCGTGGCTGAGGGCCTGCCCATCATGTGCAAAGTTCCAGGTCTGAGCCCAGGAGCCCCACATCAAAGCAGAGGAAGGCAGGGAGGGTCACCGCAGGCCTCAGTGGGCTACCTCCCTCTCTCGACTCACCTTGAACCAGGGTCGTCACCAAGAGCAGGAAGCAGACGGCCAGAGAGAGGCTGAGCAGCAGCAGCAGAGGCTGGCGGCCCCAGGACACTGCAGGGCCAGGAGACAGGCACAACTGGGGCTTGGGGACAGACCTTGGCCCTCTCTGCCATGCTGGGCAGGACCCTCCATGACCCCAACCACGAGCCACACCACGGTACCTGGACAGCTCCTTGGTCCGCGAGTGGACACCTCAGGATCTTTCTTGGTGAATCTCTGGTCTCTGAAAATGTCCTCCTCTGAATGGGCAGAACACACTCAACTGTGGACGCTCGGCCCCTTGCCCGGCCCCAGCATGGGGGCCAGATGCAGCCTCCCTGGGTGTATCCCTGTCTCTCCAGCAGTGCACAGCTTGTGCCGCCTTACCAGGGCCACCCGGCACCTTTGGCTCACACTCTCCTGCCATCTCCTGCGTCCTCCACTCTCCTCTCTGTGCCTTCGGCCTGGACTGCGGGTTTTATGACCCCATGCTTTGCACTTTGCAGGAGCCTCCCCCCTTCCAGGGTCATTCTTCTGACTCAGGAAGTAGAACGAGGAACAAGATAGGGACACCAACTCCACCCAAAAGGCGGGTGGGGATCAAAGAAGGGCCGGACACAGCTGGGCAAGTTTCAGGGTGGGACAGGAGCTTGCTGCAAACCCTGGGTCTGAGGGCACTGTTCCAGCCTGTGAGGTTACAGCAGTGCAGCAGGCATGACGACAAATCGCCTACTGCTGACACCCGTCGGCATCGGCAGCCCAGAAGATGCAGATGTTGCTTTCCGCAGCCTGCAGGCCCCTGATGCCTGCCTAGCTCTGAGAACAGAGCAGCCCTGACCTGCAGGTGCTCACAGCCAGCCCTGCCTGGATGTCCCAGGGGTGGGAGTGGGCTCTGAGTTACAGTCCAGCCTCCTTCCATTTCCTTTTACGGGACTCTCTGCTCTCTGTGCTAAATGACAGGAGTCAAAATGTTTTCCACTTTGATCATTGAAAACACACTATTTGGTAGCCTGTTATCGCGATGGGTCCACATCGCCCCTGTGTATGTGACTACTCCATGCTCGGCTGCTGGGGCAGCGGGGCAGCCCGACTCTTGTGACACCTGAGATGGCTCTGAGCGCCCGCCGTGGCATGTGGGCCACAGGTTCGCCACGACTGCACTAAGCAGTTGCACTCCATTGGGGCCTCTTCCCAAGCACCAGAAAACAGATCTGCCTGCCTCCCCTGTGACTCCGTCCTCAGCACTTCATAGCCCTGAACTGCACAGGGTGCTGCCATCTGTGTGTGGCTTCTGTCCCTGAGCACCACGCCTTCAGAGCTCATCCACAGCCTGGACCTGTTAGCGCCTCCTTCAAGAGCTGCATGTCTGGCTTTGCTGGATAGAGCTCTCTGTCCACAGCATTTTCCCAGCGTCTGGGCTGGGCCGTCCCACCGTCTTCTAGTGAGCTGGGTTCTAAGAAGAGATCTGCTGTTCCCGTTTGAGGGTCTCAGTATGTGACAAGTGGCTGAGCGTCCTGTGTTTTCTCTCTGTTGGTCATGATGACGTCTCTAGGTGTGAATCTCCTTGCATGGGCCCTACGCCGAGGCATCCGAGCTCTGCGTGAACACACACACATTTTTTGGCACATTTGCACAGTTTTCAGCCCTTGCTGCAAATATTCTTTCTAACCCCTCCTCCTCCTCCTTTTCTGCCCATACTCACATTGTGGATGTTGGCATTCTTTTTTTTTTTTTTTTTTAGATATATTTGGCACAGGGTCTACAGGGTGTTCAGGGTCTCACTACATAGATCGGACTCATAGTGATCCTCCTGTGCTCAGCCTCTCAAGCACTGGGATGACAATCACGCGCCCCACGCCCAGTCTCAATCGCCATCTCATCATGCCCTGGGGGCGAAGCCAGCAGGGCACGCCAGGGCTCGAGCCTGGCTGCTGCGCTCTGCCTAAGCAGGGTGTTGGCATTCTTGAGGGGCTCACACCAGTCTGTGAGGCTCTGCTTATTCTTTTTTCCCATTGTTTTTCTGGATGTCCTTCAGACTGGGTAACTTCTGTTGATCTGTGCTCCGATATGAGACTGTCTAATCTGCCTACTCTGAGATAGCGCTGTATTGAAGCAAGCTTTGAAGAGCAATTCCTCCTCCAACCTCCTCCCCTGTAACTATAACTTCTTATTTTGGTACAGACAAGACTAGCAACTCTGTCTTATAAACAGAGTGTTTATCATCTTGTTCTCCCAGGATTCATAAGGCTCTGTCTTCTTTCTCTTTTTATGTATTTAATACAGGGTCAGCAGTTTCTCACTACACAGATCGGACTCGTCGTGATCCTCCTGTTTTCAGCCTCCCCAGTGCTGGGATTACAGGCATGCACCCCACCCGGACTTGGTCACCGGCTCAGCGTGCCTGGGGGCAGGGCCAGCAAGGCATGTGGAACTGCGCATCAAGCCCTAGTGCCTGCGCTTGTCAAAGCAGGTGCTTAGTCCACTGAGGTATCTCGCTGGCCCTTTATGTTGATTTTTTATGTAAGAGAAAGCTTCTGAAATTTCAGCTTGTATGTCTCATTTATTTCATTAACACAGAGTGTCAATGTGCACCCATTTTCCTGAGAATGGCTCATGTTTATCTTTCTTTTTGGCAGAGGAGGACTGCACCAGGTCCAAGCACCACCTTTGCTCTATCTGCTCAGCCAGGGTGCTTGAGCTCTACCTTCGCCTTCACTTCCTGCTAATGCAGCGTCTCAAAGTCTGCCAGAGAGGAGAGCTTTATTGGCTCTTTCCTCGTCACTGATACCTCTTTCCTCGTCACATCCCAAGAATGTGCCAGAACTTTTCAAAGCCCCTAAGAAGATCTCATTGCTTCATTTTTCCTTTTAAGATTATCGGTTAGAAAAGAAATGGAATCGGTATACCAGAGAGATTCCTGCATATCCATGGGTATCACGACATTGCAAGAATAGCTAAGATAACATCACCAGCTTAGCTGCCCATCAACAGATGGACGGATAAAGAAAATGCAGTGAGGGCCGGCGAGATAGCTCAGCGGACTAAGCACCTGCTCTGGCAAGTGCAGGGACCAGTGTTCGATCCCGGGTCCTGTGTGGGCCACGGGTGTTGTGACCGGGACCAGGTGTGGTGACGCACGCCTGTAATCCCAGTGCTGGGGAGGCTGAAAACAGGAGGATCACTACGAGTCTGAGCTGTGTAGTGAGCTCCTGTACCAAATATATAAGATGAAAAAGAAAAGAAAAGAAAATGTGTAAACACAACAGAATATTCAGCCATAAAGAATATAATTTAGTGTCATTTGCAGCAAAATGGATGGAAATGGCGGAAGTTATGTGACGTGAACTAAGCCAGATGCACAAAGACAAGGACCTCTTATTCCTTCTCATCTGTGGGGACTAGAACACACACACTTCAAAGTAAAATAGTGATTTCTGGAATTCTAGAAGGATGGGCAAGGGCCCAGCGAGAGAGGTTGGGCTTGTCACATGCTGTGTGCACGTGTGAAAAGTTCACTCCATGCCCGGTTAATATGCATGACTAATATGTGTTGGTAAATTTTTAAAATATATTTTTGGTTGGACTCTAATTTGTCCAGCGCTTCGGGGGACTGCAGCATCGAGTCATTTAGCAGTGACGCAGCAGTCTTTGAGCACTGCACAGGGCCACGGTGGTGAAAAAAAGGCCAATCTTTCAGGGTAGGATTCCTAGGAAACTACACGTGGGATCAATAATGACTCAGTTGGCTTTGTTAATACCAAAGACAAGGAAGCCTTTTTTTTTTTTTTTTTTTTGAACTGGGGATTGAACTCAGGCCCTTGCACTTGCCAGGGAAGCGCTTATTCCACTGAGCCATCTCCCCGGCCCTCGGTTGGCTTGGAATGGGTGGCTGCTTTGTTTTTATTTTTGTGGTGCGAGGGCCAGAGCCTCAGCCTCCTCCTGCCTGTTATGTAAATGCCATGTCCCCAAGCCATGTCCCCAGCTCTGGGCTGCTATATTTTCCCTATTAATTTTACAAATACTGGGTTCCGCTGTGGCATTTCATTCTGATTTATTAGCATGTGTGCACGGTACATAATGTTTGTGTTCCTGGTGTAGAGCTGGCACGTGTGCAGAACACTTCCTCATTCCTTCCTTCCGTCCCGTGCTCGGCCTCTCCCTGCCACCTCCTCCAGTGCTGGATCCCCTTCCCCTCTGACAACAACCTACCTCCTGTCTTCCTGCTGGCTTTTATTTTGCTCTGTATTTCTGCTCTGCGGTTTCCACCTTCGTCCAGGCCCACAACACACTTCGACCCTAGCCGTCCCCTTGCTGTCCTCTCCTGCCCTTCCCGATTGCTTTCTTCTTCTCTGATGGTCTCCTTTCTGCCTTCTTGTCATCTTATTCCCCCCTGGATTGCACAAGTTAGGGAAAATGTGTAACAATTGCTGGACTGCTATTTTTATTTCTGAGATGAAAAACAGAATAGGACAGGGGTAAGTGAAAATTCCCCAAAACTTGTGTGTGTGTGTGTGTGTGTGTGTGTGTGTGTGTGTGTGATTTCTTAACTAAATATAGCACTCCCAATTACTGTAAACTTTTGGTTAATTTCCAGAGTCCTGAAAATGTTGATTTTTGTCAAATCATGCCAGGTTTTTTTCTGTTCCTTTTGTAGAAAAGGAAGTTTTACTCTGCCATTTTGCTGACATTTGTCTCTCTCTCTCTCTTTTTTTTTTCTTGATGCTTAACTTGTCTTTAATTTGGGCAGTGTATCCTTTTGACACATGCCGATCAGTTTTTTGCTGATGAGCTTTTTCTACCTCCCCGGCCAGCCAGATGTTGCAGGCCTCACTGGGCGGCGGCTTGTGTCTGGGTGCTCTCCAATGTGGTTTGTTTTTTAGAGGAAAAAATCAAAAACAAGTAAGTAACAAGAAAAAAAGACAACAACAAAGCAACGCTGAACAGTAAAAATGGTACAGAACTTCAAAACAAAAATAGAAAATTAATAATGGTTGTTATAGTACCTATTGTTATCATCAAATTTGTTGCTCAGTTTGCCAGCTGTAGGCAGGTAAGATTGATCAAACAAACATTAATTCTTCCTTTCAGTGAAGCAAAGTCTTATGTGGTCATAGGTGGGGAATTTCAGAGATGGCTGATTTTTAAGTTGCATGATGCTGGAACTGATTCCTGGGGGGCTGCCAAGGCTCAGGATGCCGCACCCTGGACAGAACACACGGGACAGAAAGAGGGCTGCTGTTGTCACTTGCTGCCTCTTTGTCACTTGGCTACTCTTCTGTCTTCTGTCTGCCTCTGCGACGCCCTACTCTCATGCTGCCCTGCCTGGCTCCAGGCAGCTATGATGGATTTTTTTTGGCTTGCTCATGATGCCTTAATCTGGGGATTGAACCACAGCATCCAGAGCCTGACTGCTTTACTTAAGCAGGCACCTGCACAACTGAGCTAATGGGCAGGCCCCAGATCC